CCTGGCCCACGTGATAGCCTTGAATACACTTTCAACTCAATTATCTTAAAAATATCCCTTTTGGTTTGCATATCGAGAGGTTGGCCTCTGACGTTATTCAGAGCTACTCACGACGTACTAGGAGCATCTGCGTCTGTCGCGTGTAGACTTGTTAAGAAAAATGAAGCGATTTGCCTTCAATGAGTTTAGTCAGTCCCTCATCTTAGGTGTGTGCCACAGTTGCTAAACCCTTCCTTCCTACTACAGCGACTTGGGTGAATTAGGGTGCATACAGGTCGTAGAGTTGGCAAACCCTGTGTAGACTCGTTGTGATAATGTTCATTGTAGTGGGGCTGGTACGCGTATGCTGGGTGATGAAAACTTCATGATCTGAGTAAAACACTTCATACGTTTTGTCTGGCTCCGGTGTGTAGCGTGAATCGTGCATACAAAGTAGACAGAAACTCACCCTTAAGCGATGCCTCAAAATCGTGTCAGTACTCCTTCATTCTTCTCATGAATAATACTGCTGGTTTTTCAGAAGTCCCATTATGAGTAGCTACGATGATCATCCTCCTTTTCCTACGCGCAGGTAATGCATCATTCCGTGTATAGTTCCCAATCCTACGTCAACATCACGAGTTCTGCGACTCTGTGTGACCCATCATACAAAAATCATTGCCCTCCTACATTCGCATACTTAAATTACCCAGCAGGGTTTAGAGCGAACGCTTTTCCACATCATGTTTCTGAAGGTCGCTCATTGCGCCACAGTGACGTTGAAGCGCTGGAGCAAAATGATGTATGGCACATCATGACACGCTGTTTGCTTTGTCGAGGTGTCACCACTGCGCTCGTTAGGAGCTTCGCTGCCATGGTACGAAGTGACCAGGCTGGCATTTAGCTCTGTCGAGGCTTGATCACTCAGTCTTGCGATGAATCTCATGCCAGCGTGTTCTTCTGTGCTTGGACTTCAACGGAAGTGGTAGGCTGAGCTCAATAATCCTCTACAGATAGCTAAATGGCAGGCTGAGAAATCTAAAGCCACGTTAAAGTCGCCTGCCGCAAAATTGGAATAGATGAAGGCGAAATTAGTCTGTTAAGGAGAAGCTCACCAAATATTCCAAGTTCTAAGCTGCTGCAGCCGTGGCTGTCGTTCAGCAACGCAAATAAGAAGACGAAGCCAAACTAGAATGAGACACTGTGTGCATAGTGTTTGCGGAATGAAGGCAATCATACCTTTGACCCGATCAACTAGGTGTACTAGAGTGAAGCACGACCAAGTTTTTTTTTAACTCCGCAAAGAAGACAGCACTACGTATTGAGATGAACGCACATTTACACGGATGGCATAGTTTTTACAGCCAGCTCCGCAGCGGCAGTGGTTATTCCCGTGAAGACCATCACCATAAAATTCTGTACATCGCATTTCATACTATGAAAGGCTGCAGAATTCGCCACTATCAGCGCTTCACTAGCGCTCTTGATTCAAGAACCATCACAGGTGTGGTCAATCTTCTCCAACTTCTATGCCTCTTTCCAGGGTATTCACTCGTCATAAAGTCATAAACCAAAATAATTTATAGGCGCTGACATAGGAGCACTTTATCATCGCTGTTTGAAGATAAAACTCAAAATAGGGTATCATTGGTACCACGTTATGGCGGTGTGTACGGAAACAACCGTGTAAATGTACAATAGTATTTATGGTTTACGTCCAGAGACCGTGCAGATGAAGCCACCCGATCTACTGGTGATAGTTTCCGTTAAGTGGCTATACAGTTCTCCTGAATAGACGCAGTTACAGAGCTTCATTCGCTCACACGTGAGCTCACACGTGCGTAGTGGAAGTTGACAGAATTTACCAGCGCTCATCTCCCCAACTTGAACCCCAATCTAGAGCTTAGCGTTCGGACATATCTAGAGCTGAGAACTCGCTTCTTTACCGTTTGCAACTTGTTCTGCTGATTTGAAGTGCATAACCGAAGGCGTGGGTTGGTTACGGTGCTCGATAGAAGAAAAGGTGGATGAGTGGTTCTCGAACTCGATCTTTCAGCTATGCCACCTCCCTGAGCTTCCCGCGTGAGACTCGCACCCCCAATCGAGCAAAATGTGCGACTACCCAAAGTTTGTGATCCTAAGTGGACGACTTCCTGTGGTTGCACTGGACTGTTCCTGGGTCAAGTGTTACCACGGCGTTAGTTTGTTCCGACACGACCATGTCATAGGCCTATTCTGTGCTGGGCCTATGTCCCAAAACAACATCCCAGATTCTATGGGTGCCGGGCCTCCGCCCCGACCCCCGGTTACATCCATTGAGATAGAGACGCGCCGACAGTGTGCCACGATCGCGCGAATGCATGACGAGCTAAATGACAGATTTTAATGTGTTCGATTGAGTGTGTCTGTAACGTGTCCTTAAGTTCTGTACCGCCTCGATATAAAGGATTATGTGTTTTTACTGGGCCACCCGTGCGCGTAACAGGACGGAACCCCTATCATGAACACATCGGCCTACAAAGCTTTGAAAGTTGTGTTGCGTTTATTGCGAACAAAAGACACATTTGAAGCAGCGTCGCATATATCCTACTTTCCTTCCTGCACCTTCTTTAGCTATTTTTTTCCTTTTTGTAAGAGATGTTATTATCTTTTATACCGCTTACACCATTCCTCAGCAGGGCAGCCAGACGGTCTTACCTCTCTTGCTTTCCGCCTACTGCTTCGTTTTTATACTATAACTCTATGTTCGGGTTCATCATCATCGTCGTCGTCATCATCATCGGCCTGACTACGTCCACTGCAGGACAAAGGCCTCTCCCATGTTCCGACAGTTAACTTGGTCTTGTGCTTGCTGCTGCCAAATTATACACGCAAACTTCTTAATATCATCTACCCACCTAACCTTCTGTCTCCCCCTGACACACTTGCCTTCTCTGGCAATCCACTTAGTTACCCTTAATGACCAGCGGTTATCCTGTCTACGTGCTGCATGCCCGGCCCATGTCAATTTCCTCTTCTTGATTTCAACTATACTATCCTTAACCCCGGTTGGTTTCCTGATCCACTCTGCACTCTTCTTGTATCTTAAGGTTACACCTACCATTTTCATTTCCATTGCTCGCTGCGTCGTCTTCAATTTAAGCTGAACCCTCTTTGTAAGTCTCCAGGTTTCTGCTCCGTAGCAAAGTACCTGCAAGGTGCATCTGTTATATACCTTCTTCTTGAGGGATAGTGGCAGTATACCTGTCATGATTTAGGAGTGCCTGCCAAATGTGCTCTACCCCATTCTTATTCTTCTAGTTACTTCAGTCTCGTCGTTCTCCGCGGCTATTACTTGTCCTAAGTAGACATAGCATTTTACAACTTGAAGTACGCTATTACCTATCCCGAAGCGCTGTTTCCTTCCGAGGAAGTTGTACATTAACTTCGTTTTCTGCAGATTAATTTTAAAACCTACCTTTCTGCTCTCCTTCTCTGACTCCGTAATCATGAGTTGCAATTCGTTCCCTGAGTTACTCAGCAGTACAATGTGTTTGGCGAAGCGCAGGCTACTAAGGTATTCTCCATTAACTCTTATCCCTAACTGTTCCCATTCTAGGCATCTGAAAACCTTCTTTGCGCACGCGGTAAAAAGCACTGGGGATATTGTATCCTCCTGCCTTACACCCTTTTAGATTGGTATTCTGTTACTTTCTTTATGAAGCACTATGGTAGCAGTTGATCCCATGCAGATTTCTTCCAGGATGTTTCTATATGCTTCGTCGACGCCCTGATTCCGCAGTGTCTGCATGACTGCTGATATTTCAACTGAGTCAAACGCCTTCTCGTAATCTACGAAGGCTGTGTATAGTGGTTCGCTATATTCTGAGCATTTCTCTATTACCTGATCGACAATATGAATGTGGTCAATTGTTGAGTAGCCTTTAGAAATCCTGTTCTTTTGGTTGATTGAATTCTAATGTTGACTTAATTCGGTTAGCAATTACATTTGTAAATAGCTTGTATAGTACGGAGAGCAAGCTGATCGGCCCGTAATTCTTCAAGCACTTGTCCTCTCCTTTGTTATGTATTAAGATGACGTTAGCATTCTTCCAAGATTCTGGTACTCCTTACGTCAAGAGACACCTCGTGTTCATAGATGCACAGAAAGCGCAGGCTTCCAACTGACTGTAATTTGTGGAAGGATTTTATTTTTTAGACTTTCTTCTTTGTGCCTAGATTTTAAATATTTACTAAATTTATCACCTTCTTGTCCTAAATGCCTTGCTTCAACAAGTTGACGTTGCTCCACGCTAATGCACCGTCCAGTCGGCAAAGTATGCATTCGGTGACATAGTTCAGGGGCATTAGCGAAGAAAGTTGGAGAGAGAGGATGGTGGTTAAATAGGCTTTGGGTATGTCCTTGCGTGTGTGAGTATATACAAAGGAGAATTTGAAAAATTGCTAACAGAAGTGGGTGGATGGCAACCTCGCCTTCCCTGGGTAATCCAATGACCAGGCTGTTTTCATCAAATATTGCTGCAAGTCTGTGATTCGGCATCCCACCGTAAATATTCCTTTAGTGTGGAGTATACGCCTGGCTTGTAGCTGTTGCTAATGTTGGCACAAAGACATCACCGCCCAGGCCTTTCCGAACGGTCAAATGCTCATGTATAGCACTGTCCTGATAGCAAAGCCTCGATTTCCCCCCCACCTCTCCAGACCAAAGACAGTGCATTCAGCGAGAACTGTTCTTCACGAAGTCTTAAGATGTGTAGAGTGTTGAGCGGCTTTCATGGTTCGGATAAGTCACGATCGCCGTTATTCAGCGCTATGTTCTTAACAAGGTCTGAAAGGAACGTGGCCATTCATCTTTTCCGTGAGTGCTCTCGCACGCCCCAGCGAGTTGAAATCTAAACAAATGCCTTATGTGCGCGCCGATATATCGAATCGTACCGTATTTCACAAGTTGTGGTCTGCAATAAGTTGGAAATTCAGTCGCTTCCAGCTGCGGAAAACTGACAAAAGACACACATTTCCTCTTCCAGTATCATTTGCCACAGTTCTCCGGAGTATGGCAAACATATTTTGATCCTTCAGAAGGTCAGAATTAGACAATGAAGCACTCCGACGTTACTGGCACGCTACTTTGGGTAGTGGTGGTGTGTAGCCTTGTGGAATTCGACCATGTCTCGGCATCGGTGGGCGTCATGAAAGTCACAGTAAGCGGAGGTAAACTTGTATCACTGCTTCCGTCAGAACGATCATCCAGACAAATTTTCGTGCTTTGCTATAGGTTAGGTGCTCTGCGCTTTCTGTTTTGATACATATAAAAAGAAGCGATAACGAAAGGAGGGCCCTTCACATTGCGTTGCCCATAAAGCTAGAAAATTTTTGCGAGTACAATACTAGATAATCAAGAAAGTAACATGTGAATGGTAACGCCACTACTTGCGACGTGAAACGGCTCATTCATATTGATTTTTTATGAGTTGAGCGTGGTGTCAAACGAGTAAACGCTTGTGTCCCGAGATAAACCAAAATAACAGGTTAGAGTTTAAAATGAAGCTATACAAGTTGAAAAACTTGAGAACATTGTTTTTTGAACTGTTGAACATAGGTGTAGAAATGTTATGTTGTAAATAAGTTCTGTGCGCATCGATTTTTAAGGTAAGCAGTCATGGTAAAGTTACAGCTGCTACATACAACATACCATTCAACAAGCTGACAGTGTCGATGCTCCAAATGAATGCAAAATTTTAAAAATAAGAAACCCAGTGAAGATGGATATGTGTGTTATGGTATAGCGAGCCCATTTCAGATAGTCGAATAATTGATAACTACATGTAGAGTTCAGGAAAATTTCACGTGCAGTTTTTCGGGACTGTATATGTTTTAATTGAGAATCGACTCATCAGCGTCGTCCCTTAAAAGCCACTTTAATGCCATCGCATATGGTGACTAGAAGCCAAATTTTATTGCATAACCTGGCACAAGTAAGCCTAATTCATGCAGTGATTACATAATTCTGCTGATATTGGGAATCCTGGTTGAAGGAATAAGTGGTACGCCCACAGAAACTTATGACGTAAATGAATGCTCTTATGTTAAGGGGGCACTTATGTTGCAACTCGCCATTTCTAATGCTTGGAAGGTTGCTGCCAAGGTTGCCGTTAGTGTGACCAGAAAAGTAGGAGGCCGCATTCCCCCAAGTTCACGTTAAGTAAAAGCTATACTAGGTAGTATCTATCTGATTGATTTGCGGGGTTTAACGTCCCAAAACCACCATATGAATATGAGAGACGCCGCAGTGGAGGGCTGGGTAGTCTCTATCTATCTATCTATCTATCTATCTATCTATCTATCTATCTATCTATCTATCTATCTATCTATCTATCTATCTATCTATCTATCTATCTATCTATCTATCTATCTATCTATCTATCTATCTATCTATCTAGCTATCTATCTATCTATCTATCTATCTATCTATCTATCTATCTATCTATCTATCTATCTATCTATCTATCTATCTATCTATCTATCTATCATTCAGTCTATCTATTAGTACAGGTCAAGCCACATCTCATTCGTAAATATATGAACCCAGCAATAGCAAGAATTGAATTAGGAATTCTTAACGCGAAAACGTTCAAAAGCTTGCGCCACACACAATCCAGTGCCGGCGTTGACGGAGTTATCAGTGAAAAAAAAAGTCGTGATGAAAGGAATAAATAGCACAGCTCGCACCTGAATCAAACCCAGACATTATGCATGGAAGTCGACTTTACCAAGAACTAACATACAATGAAGCCAAGGTCGTCTTCTTATCTGGCATATATCCGTATTGCCAGATGATAATGGTATTGTATGACTCGAACAAGATTCACAGGTCATGACATAAATAACATGACTTTCCTGTCACGTTTTTCATGAACTTATTTTTGTCAGTCACGCCCAGCGCATGCCCGTATAGCATGGCGCATGCTGTGCACGTATGGACCTCAGTTCATATCAACCAATACTTTGAAAGTGATAACGCGGCAGTGTGATGGAACCCATGTTACAGAAAATGCGATGCTGAACCCAGTAAGGCTGTCACACGGCAAATATTCTCATGGAAGCAAATAAAATATAATTCGCAGTTCAAGCCGCATTCAAACATTCCAGCAGTGCCCCGCCAACGCATCAAACTATTTCGTAAAATGTATCCAAGAAGCGTCATACCAAGACAAAACCAAGTGCGGTACCCGGCATGGTGGTATAGTGGCTAAGGCACTCGGCTGCTGATCCGCAGGTCATGTGATTGGGACTCGGCGGCAGCGGCCGCATTTTTGATGGAGGCGAAAATGATTGAAGCCCGTATTTTCAGATGTAGGCACATGTAAAAAACGCGAAGGGGCGAAAATTTTCGGAGCCCTCGACTATGGCATCTTTTGTAATCACGTGACGATTCATAACAATTATTATGAAAAACGAAGGGGTGGGGGGTGGCCATGTGGGCTATATATACGTTTTTATACGAATGTAGGAGACACTACACATCTGAATCCTCAAGCTATAGTGAACTTCAGCGTAACACCAAGTATGCTTACAACCATTACGTATGATATAGGTTAATCAAATCATTTACTTTTGATATGAGAGGTACACGACTAAAAGCTCAAGAGGTTGACGAGGTCCTGACACCGTCAAAACTGAATAAAGCAGCGGGAATAACATACAATCATGCATAAAAATACCAAATAAACTTACACGTAAGACATCGCAAAATGTAATACAAAATTCATGAAAGAAAGCGTTCAAAATAAAAAGTGAATAGCGGAAATGTATGGTCATCAATTGGCATGAAATATCACAGCATATCCACGGAGTGAATGATGATGAGTGGGGTGAAGCGCCCGTCCGTGTGTCCATGCGTGCGTCTGTCCGTCAGTGCATGCGTCCATCCCTCCGTGTGTCCGTCCATCCGTCTCTTTGTTTTTCTCTCTTTTTGTCTGTCTGACGACAAGCAAGAGCTGCTTCCGCGGGGCTCTGCGCCGGTCGCTCTGCTTCGTCCACGCCCCACCACCAATCCGACACGTACGACAATGATCCAGGAGACTGAGAGAGCCCCTTGTTCCCCACGCACTCAGGCGCAGTCTGCGCAGCAGCCAAATGGAGAGTAGCGGTGCAATGCCATCTAGAATATCTTCACTAAACTTTAGTTTGTTCGTACTTCTATCAGACTGTTCGGGAGATACTGCCTTCTTTTTTTTCTCGTTTTCTTCTTCTGCCAGTTACGCCTCACGCAAGACCATGTTAGAGCAGAAGGAGCTTTGCTTCTAAAAGCAACAATCGCTAAAAGAAGAGCCAAAATGATGAGAGTTGCATTATTCGGGAAAGTAAGTGAGCAAGGCGAAGTGTTTATTGTGACAGTTTTGTTTAGACAAAGGATTGAAATATTTGCAGGTTAAGACGCTTAGTGGGGAGGTAGACTATAGTACAATGGTTGTTTATCATAAACAGTTCTAGGGGTCATACACAGTTCTAGGTATAGGCGAAACTTCTTTGTGTCTGGTGAGTTGAACACTTGGGTTTATATTAACTTTAGCAAGAATAATTGTGGTATCAGTGCCATGCTCAACAAACTCTTTATATCACAACATCAGTCTGTAGATGGCTAAAGGGAAAACTGGAAGAGTTTCATGTTATGGGAAAATAAGTTTTGTAGCGAACAGATAGTGTACAGCAGCAATATCTCGTATGACTGCTTTTTTTCGTAAGTACAACTGTCGCAAAATTGTGACTCTTGTATTACACCACAATATGCCACAGCACTGTAACAAAGATTGTGCCAGTGCATTGTATATCTTAACTTTCACTTTGTTAGGAAGAATATCTCGCATACGTCCAAGAGCACCAATGGCCAATGACATCTTACAGTGCGGGCTATCAAAATGTACGTACATTCAATGTAAGGCGCCGTAAGAAGTATACTTTAAGGATACCAACGAAATCAACCAAATGTAACTGTTGAGAGCCCAGAAATAGTTATTCTTATTTTGCATGGTTTTTTCTTTTGTCGTGTATAAAATAACTTGTGTTCTTGAATAGAAACAAAGTTAAGGCAACCACTAAGTTGTGTTCCTTCCACACACACACACACACACACACACACACACATATATATATATATACATATATATATATATATATATATATATATATATATATATATATATATATACATATATATACAAAGAGCATCGAACGCGTTATTGGAAGGTCGTAGGTCCGATTCCTGCTCACGGCTGGTTATTTTTTCATCCACTTTTCTTTCTTCTTTCTTCTTATTTACATTCCGTTGGTTCTAATAACTGCCCCTGTACATTCCTTGGCATTACTGTCTGTTAGATCTCATTATTATTGTGTTAAAACACGGAAAAAACAAGCCCTTAGGTATACACTTCTTTCCCATATATATATATATATATATATATATATATTTATATTGCAACTTAGAGTTGTGAGCCGGCAAGCTCTAGCCAGCCGAAAAGGGCAAAGACAACGAAGTGTGTGTTAGCACTTCGTTTGAAGGTATACATGCTCGTGCCTTTCTGCCCCGCTGTTCCTGTCTTGTCTCTACGGCTATTTTGGTGCGTGACGAACTGGTGGACGTGCTATGCACCGTACCCCTCCACATTGCAAGAACTCAAGCGTCGTACCGGTGGTCACTCCTGTGCACCATGCCAGCAGGCACGTTAAAGAACTCCAGGTGGTCGAAATTTCCGGAGCACTCCACTGCGGCGTCTCTCATAATCATATAGTGGTTTTGGGACGTTAAACCCCACATATCAATCAACCGTGCCAGCACAAGAATCCGAGGGAAATACCCTGAGTTTGGGCTGCTCACAAACAACATGGCACCTCCGACCAGCCCTACCGACACCAACCCAATTGATACGAACGGCAAAACGCCGCTTCATTGCACGTTACTCACACGGAGAACGCCAAATCCCTTTCATGGCAATGCACTTGAGAATGTCGAAGTTGGCTTATTCATTACGAGTTCGTTGCCGTGAACAACCAGTGGGACGACGCAGACAAACTGCGGCACGTCTGTTTCAGTCGTTTGAGATGCGCACGTGTATGGTATGAGAACCAGGCAGGCATTCTTACATCAAGGGCAGACTTCAAACGCCGGCGTTTTCGGACATATGCCAGCCCTGACCGTCGGGGGAAAGCTGAGC